ATATTACAGTTTTGGTCTAAGACTTAACTTTTCGAGCTTATGTATAACTCTTAGGCATATGTAGTCCATATAGAGACCTATAACATATTTAACTGATCTAAAATACATATGGAATATCCTTAATGTTATCGATTAATAATTACTCACAATCGACATGAAGTTGGCTGCGCTATTTCGATAAACTTATCGGTCTGGTCGAACGCAATTATAGAGAAACTTTCCGTTCGAGCGAAAATCTATTGACAAAAACAAATTAAATATATGTTTTCGCTCAACAACATAGACATATCATTTTTTGTGCAGCTCCATGCAGAATGATGTCATGCTCCAAAGTCTACCCAAAACAATAAACCCAATTCTGAATGTAAAATACTGTCCAAAATAACGCTGGGAAACTATGTGGAAATTGCCATTTGAAGTGTCGTGTAACTCGCATGCAAACTAAATAGGCTAATTCGACAGAATGAGAACTAGTTCGGCCCACACACACACACACACACACACACGCACACACAGTCAATGTGTGGGCAGCGCCCGCGCACTTGCTTTTTAGTTCTGGGCAAACAAATTTGAACATTTGTATCTGCGTCGACAAATGTATCTCTGAGCGATCAGCTCAGTCAACTTTGAGCAACGATTTTTTGAAGCTATGACGCGATGCAAATGTTGACTGTTTGTCTACAAAAATATGAGTCCGTAGGTCGACGACGACAACAACAACAACAGCCACATTAACCACAACAACAACGACAACAACTTAAAAACCGGCTCCGATTTACTTGGAAAGCAATCTAGGTATGAGCCACATATCATAAAAAGCAGCAGAACAACAGAATCACAGAGCCTCAAAAGTATTTGTTTATTGCAAAATACAAAATACACGCAAACACACACACGCACACCAATTAAAGAGCAACAGTAAAAGGAAAGACGAGAGGAATAAACAAAAAGAACAGTTTACTTTAAGTACAAAACTAACAATTTTACAGAAGCGCCGAATTTCGCTGAAAATGGTTTGCTGCTTTCTAGTTTGATACCCTATAAAAATGGTGGGTAAAGGTATCATGGAGTACATTCGAATTGTGGATCAGCAACAGCAATTCGACAGGCAAATCTAGGGTATATTTAAGCTAAATGCTTTTATTACATGCATACATGCATACATGCATGCATGCAGGTATGCATACATGCAGGCATACAGACATGCATGCATGCACACATACATAATAAATACGCATATGCTTACATGCATACATGCATACATACATACATACAGACATACACACATACATACATACATACATACATACATACATACATACATACATACATAGATACATACAAACATGCATACATGCATACATACATGCATAATTCTACATACATATCTACATACCCGCTCCACCGCCATATGCTGCTGCTCCACAGGCCGTTGAAGGCTACGTTTCCTGCCTTGTTGAATTTCAGCAAGGCCTACTTGAATTCTTGAGAATCGAGGAGGAGAGCCTTTGGTAGAAATTCGTTGGTCTGCGTTTGGTATTAGACAAGAAACCTGCATACATACATATATACATGAATGCATACACACATGCATACATACACAGACATACATACACACACACACACACACACACATACATCAACACACCCACACACACACACAGTTATATGCCTTGTATTATTATATACTTTTTTCCATCTAAGCTCAGAATTGTAAGATTTGAATAGAATTTATGCTTGATTTATTGCTAGTAAATGGACATTTAGTTACAGGGCAACACGCAGTCGTGACGTCTCGTCTAATGCAATCAGTTGGCTGAGTTGCCTTTATGTTTGGTAGCTTGTCAAATTTTGCATTAATTAACACTTTTTAGTTTGGGCTCTGATGATTTTCAGCGTTTAACCTGTTTGCAGATGGGCCACGCAATGGATCTAAAGCAAGGCTACGACTCCAAAGTTTACATTACATTTATTTTTCACAGTCTAGTTAAGATGCCACAAAGCCAACCAAATGTGTTTCCAGCCTAACCGAAAACAAACCAAATAGCAACAAACTTGGGCGTACTTTTAAGTAGCTCAAGATCATGCGTAGATCAGCGACAAACTAAAGCTGTTGTTGCTGCTTTAGTTGCTGTTTTAGTTGCTATTTTAGTTGCTATTGCCAAGCTAAGTTGGCGACTTATCTGGCCTAAGCTCAATGCGAATAGTCAAAGCAACTAACAACGACCCCGTTGTGACTACATTAGAAAGTGTTATAAATAGTCGAAGCTCAAGTTTCAGGTTGATGATATTAGAGCAGAGATTTGTTAATTAGTTAGTTTACTAAAGAGGAGGTGAAGGGAGACAGAAAGAGAGACAGAGAGAGAGAGCGAGAGAGACATCGCAAGAAAGGCAAAGTATATTTTAGAGACTATCGACTCTTCTCTAAAATATTACTTATTGAGAAAACTTTAAAGAAGGTGGAATCATTTTTTAAAGATTTAAAAACGATTTGCATACAATCGAGTTTGCTATTGTTAAGATTAATTATTATTATTAATTTTAGTATTATTATTATAATCATAATTATAATTTGGTTGAGTCCAATTTCTTGATCTTGGCGCAACATATCGTGTTACAACGGAAACCTATTCGAATAACTCGTCAAGAGTTTCGGCAGCAAAGATGGCTTATAAAGAAACAAACAAAATGATGTGGGTGCAAGAAAAAAAAAATAAATAGAAGCAATTTGACAGCAAACATCAATTCGAATACATTAATAATAATTCAGCGGAAGGTGTTAGTTCAATTACCTTTAACTCTTTCGACACGTAAACAACACAGATTCTCAGAACGAAAGACAATTATGCATTTATATAATTAAATGTAATTGAGAAACTCTCGCAAAGAAGCTCTAAAAAGAGACTACTTTCAAAAACTTTAAAAACTAAAAAAAAAAACAATTCTAAATAATAAATAATGATCGATGAGTAATGAGTAATGAATAATGAATATGAAGTAATAAATATTTATGGAATGCCTCTAATGCAGTTGGTTTTAAGAGCAGCTTGCAGTTGGCTGCATCTCTTATTTAAATGTAAATATTCAGAGAGATTATATATTCAAGGAATATTTTATAAAAATGAAAAAATGCATTATAAAATAAAATGATCAAGCCCACTTACTATGCGAACAACCCAACGTGCAACAATATAATCGCATAATGAATATGATTCATTTTGATCTACTCGAACACATATTTGGTTTAAATCATTTATGCCCTCATGCATATGAGTATAAAAGTATCCGTATATCGTTTTTTTTTTCACAACTCAAAAAGGTGCTCGAACAAATCAACTGGTTGTTGACGTCATTTTTTGTTTATACATCAAATATATATATATATATATATATATATATCTGCGGGGTAATGTATGCCGTTAAGCGTAGTATTCTGAACATCCAAATACGGCCATAATAAGCGCATCTGCTTTCTAACTAACCCTCCCGTAAAACAAAATATGGTCGCAACTAAATCGAATGCTCGTCACGTAACGCTCAGACATTGTCATGCACAGTTAGTCATACGAGGGATACGAAAACCCGTACAGGGAGTTAATATTGACCAAAATAAAGAATAAACAAAAACTTGGACGAAAAATAAAAGTCATCATAAAAAAAAAAAAAATAAAGTAAAGTATGGTAAATTTTCAAGATTTTTAAAAACAAATACCACGAACGCAGACATAATTAACACCTCAATAAAAATGTCTTGTATATATATATATATATATATATATATATATATATAGCTGCCCATATCTGAATGAATGTATTTTTGCACCTTTTGATTTTCTTCTCAATGAAGCCGCATACAACATTTAGGGAGTTGGTTGGAAAAGATTTCGTTAGCCCAATAAATGTTAATTATGAATTTACACAACACAACTTGGATTTGTTTTCTCTCTCAATGCTTGTTTGTAAACAATTCCCATTGTTAAATTAATCTTCATTTTTTTACAGACATTAACAACAACAACAACAAAATGTACAAACACAAGAAATTTTTGGGTACTTTGAACATTTATCAATTGTTAGCACAATTTGTAAATAAAAATAGGAAAATAAATAATATTCGCTTCGAATGACGCAAATTGTCGCCTACCTCATGAGTTGTACCTAGAGATGAGCGCGGGGCGATAGTTATTTAGGCGTGCTAAGAGCATGACATTTTCAGCAGACTTTTCAGGCAAAGCTTGATTTTGAATAATTGAATATGTCCTGCGATGGTTCTGGGCGTGCGAACGCATAAGATTGGCATTATTTTTAGTTTGGTTTTTAGAACAAAAATATAGCCTTAAAAGTAACTAACGTTTAACTTAAATCAAGTGCAAAACCTCTTCAAGTCTAGCGCACTTCCAAGTTTATCAAAATGTCAACAAAGTTCTTACTTCAAGTACTTCTATCCAGCCCATATCCAAAACTGAATCTTAAATAAAATTGTCTTTCATTAATAATTCTTATAACTATATATAAAATTATAAAAATTAATAATACTCAATAATAAAAGAGTATTATTATAATATAAGAAGTCTTGAATTAAGCACAAATTAATTGTAAAAATATTTTGTCCATTTAAGAAGAATGAAAGTCAATGTGAAGGATGTCTCTAAACCCATATAAAATATGGTTTCAGGCTTATTTCAAATATGCAAAACATTTTTATAAATAAATTGTGCCTTATTCAAGACTTTTCTTCGTAATGATGTAAAATATTTCAGAATAAGCACAGTTTATGCTTAGCTAAGAATATTTGAGAACGAGAATTTATGTTAATATTTTTTCTAGCAGCTTGACGAATATTCGAACCCTGAACTTCGGGCTCGACGCTTTGTCCACTGCGCTACGAAAGAACATACTAATATTGGAATTTTAAACAGATTTTTTTATCTTTTGACTCCTTTATGAAACACTTAAAATATTATATGTATTTTTTATAATTTAAAATTCATTTATTAAATTAATTTAGTATTATTTCAAATTTAACTTGTGATTCGTTTTGTGTGTGTTTTACTTGTAAACACGTCTCGTTTCGTGCTCGTGCTCGTGTTCGTGTCACGCGCTCAGCTCTAGCTGATTGTATTTGATCAGTCGTATGTTCGAACTATCGCCATGGAATCTTGATCGGCGAGCGATTGCGTCGCGGCGCGGGGGCGTGTACGTGAACGGCTCTGGACGTCGGCTGCTCGCGACGCCCCCAATTGGTGCTGGTAACGCCCACGCCGCCGGCAGAACTCTGACGCGAACTGGTCAACGGCTTGGACGCGGGCACAGGTGCATTATAATGGCCGCCAAAGTAGGTGGAGGCGGGCGGCTGCTGTCGACTACTCGGCTTGCTACCGTAGAGCTGTACGCGGGTGGGTGCACGTCCTCGGGCGGGCGCCGGCGACAACTTGGCCTGCTCGCTGCCAATCTGCACGAGCGTCTGATAGCGACCGCTGCTGCGCTGCTGCTGCTGCTGCTGCTGCTGCTGCTGTGGCTGCTGCTGCTGTGCCACGCCCATATGCCGCGTGGGCGAATGCTGACTCGGACTGCGATACCATTTGCCCGCCGGCGGCGTTTGACGCGCAACGCTGCTGGCCAAGAGCCGCTGCGCATAGTACTCCGTTGTGGGCATGGGCTTGGCCACGCCCACCGGCACCAGGCGGCCCGGCGAGTGCGGCAATATGGAGTTCTTGATCTCGATGCGTATGGCAGACGCGGGCGTCGGCGGCGTCGGTGAAGGCGACATGTGCCGCAGCGTGGGCTGCGCCACGCGAAATGTCTCATTGCGCTTGACGGGCGAGCGGGTGGCGGAGCGTGAGGGTCTGTCGCGCAGCGGCGAGCGCGACTGCGGCCGATAATTGTCATTCTCGAAAACAAGAAAATCGGGTCGATTCTCCTTGGAGTCCCATCGATGGCCGGCTGCTGACTGCTGCGCTGCAGCCGGCGGCGCGGGCACCTCCACAAACCAGGCGGGATTATGCGGCGTCTCCTTTTGCTGCTGCAGCAGGCGCTCCCTGAAGGATTTCCGAAAGCTGTTCAGTGTGACCGTCTTGTACTTGTCGCGCTCATCCTCCTCGAGCAGATCATCCTTCGAGTGCGTCTTCAGCTGCTCCAGCTGCTCGCGCAGATGTGTCGGCGTCTTGCTCTTGCGATAGGTGCTGCTGTCGAAGCTGCCGCTGGACGTGGAGCCGAGGCTGGGCTGCCGCTGCATGCCATCCGACGATTGTCTGGACTTCTGACTGCCCTGTTCGTAGAGGAAATTGAATGGATCCGTGTGCGCATCGTAGTCGAGCATACGATCCCCATCGTTGCGCCATTTGTAGTACGTATTCGTGGCCGTATCGCTGGGATGATGCTCATAGCTGGCCACCTCCTCCGGCGAGGGCGGCTTCTTGCGCTTGGTGAACGTGCTAAATTTGCTGAACACCTTCGATTTCTTTGACTTCTTCTCCAGCGTGCTGCTGTTGGACTCGGTGCCGCGCTGCTGCTCCTCATCGGAGCCGTTCAGTATGAAGGTATCGCCGCGCTGCAGCGTCGAGCTGGTTGTGGAATCCCGTCTAGAACTGATCACGCTCGCCGGCCGGGAGCTGCCGCTGCGCACGGGCGTTGTGTCGCGCGACGAGCTCTTTCTGGACGAGGCCAGCGACGAGCGTATATTGCGAAAAAATGACATCGGTTTAACCTTGAGGCCGCCGACGCGAAAGAGAGAGAGAGAGAGAGAGCGACAGAGAGACTTCCCCCCCCTGGCGCGTTCAAAGTCTAAAAGTCGCGTTGCGGTTCGTTCGCTTGCGAGTCTTGAGATCTCGGCTTAAATTACGCGTCTGACTCGGCCAACTGCCACGGCACAACTGAGCAAGTTGGGCCCATTGAGCGTCGCATTAACTTCAGCTATTACCCGGATCATTAGAATTTCTGCGACGCTCGGCATTTATTTTTAACGTTCGTTTGCTCGTTCGTACGCTTGAATATTTTTTGCTCTTTTGTTTTGACCAATTTGGCGTATACTTAATATCATTATCGTGTTTGTTGTTATGGCCATATTTTGTGTCGATTAGCAGCTGTTTGCGCGGGCGTTACATAGCCAAAAACTGGTTTATGCCCAAAAACTGGGCTTTAATTTCGTTTCATAATTTATGCAACAGAAAGTGCTCTAATTAGCGATCGGCTGTGTGGCATCAACAGCTCATTTAGCACAATGCAACAGCAACAAAAACAGCAACAACAATTAGAACAACAACACACATTTACACCAACCACAACACCTCAGTTGTGTTAAGTAGTGTGCTTTTGTTGTGCACACTCTGGCTTTGTTTATTTGTTTGAAGTGCCAACCAGGCAGGCGGCTGCACAGTGGTTCACACTTGTTGAACAAGGAAAGAATTATCGATTGTTTTAAAAAACAAACAAATAGATGAAGTAATAGAAGAAGAAGAATGGGAATCATAATAGTAATATATATAAATATAAATAAAATAATATTAATAAATAAAACTATTATACGATGTTTTCTATATTAATTAGCTATTCGGAACATAAAAGAAACTCTAATAAAAATGAAATAAAAAAAAACTATACCCATTTTTATGTGTTATTTTTGTATAAAAATTGGTTTTAGTCAACTTTTATGTTCCCTTTCTTAAAATCGTTCTCACATATAATTTGTATTCCTGCCTTTACCATATAGCCTGGTGCCACTGTGCCGTGGTGTTCTGCTCTGGACTGAATTATCGATGGCTTTTGATGCTAGACGCCTCATTGTTCGCCTTAATGAATGATTGAGTTTCGTGTGCCCACTTTTGTATGGCATTTGATTTGTTTCGCTTCCGATTCCGCAAAAAAATAGCAGCTTAATGCCAGTCATTAGATTGTATCTGCGAGACACGAGTGCGAACAACCAGTTGATGGTTGTTCAATGCAGCAGCAGCAGCAGCAGCAGCAGCTGTTCGCATTTCATTATTTACGATGACTGCATGGGTAAAGTACACGTGGATAATTGCCTAATGAATATTAAGGTTTGTAAAAACCCATAAATTTTATATTAAAAGCTGGCAATCAATGGTTAAAAATGTTTTCGAATTTTAATCTGCCAGCGTATACGAACATAATTTATTGTTGCCTGCTTTTAGGCGAGCGCTTGCCCATTAACCGCAGCAGCCAGAAAGTAGGCAGCGAAATTTGAAGCAGCCCAAAGAGCAGAACCAAAATATTTAGAATTTGGGAAAGAAAATTAAATGGGGGCGCAGTGCAGCCAGCATTGGAAAAATCAAGTCATAAGCACACTTGAGCAATCGAAATTCGCAGCGGGCGTTGGCAAAGTTCACGCTATTTGCAGTAGCATAAATACACAAAGGAATTATCCATGAAAGCACACACAGAAACACACACACACACACACACACAAATATACACGAGGTGTGTACAAAAGGTTCTTAGAGCGCGAAAATTATATGTTTCGTACATATTCAGTATGTACACTGCTCTCCTTGTGCTCCTGCCAGTTCAGATTTATATTATTCATGAACTTCTTCAATTAAAATATATATAAAATTGTTTATTTTACAGAAAAATATATAAAAATACTTCTTGGCACTAAAATTGATTGGTTTTTCTTACAGAAATCGAAAAAAATGTGGCTGTTCCACAATCAAAATACTTATGAACAGAAAATGTTAAGCTTGAATAAAGCGTGAGACTAAAGAAATCGAATGGCAAAACATCTCGAAAGTAGAAGAAAACTTTTTGAGTACAACAGTTGAGTCTTTAATGTGGCAATAATAAGGCCAGAAATTAGATTTCCGACATAAGAATTATGTTCAGAGCTTAAAAAACTGCGACTTATGCTGATTCTGCCATTTCATTTAAATACAAAATTTATTGCATTTATCATTTCTTTCATTTAGAAAACGACTTGTAAAAGATCAGTTTAGACTGTGCAACTTTTGGGGCAACCCCACCAAATGCTTGCAACGGCCAAGAACAACACGATATTTGTTGAATTGTGGCACTTGCCACATGTTGGTGCTTCGCGCAGCAGTGGGTCAAAAATACCACGCATCATATTGTTGCCGCGGCAAAAATGTTTACTAGTGCAATAAATTTATTTATGCGAATTTCTCAAATTTTTGTTTAATCTTGAAATAATAAAAATACGAATCAGCTGAAATAATAAATAGTAATAAATCGAAAAATATGGCAGAAAAAGTTCTAAAAAATATAGTTTAAAAAGCTAGTTGAATGCCAAAGGGCATTAAAGTATTAGAATAAAATAATATTTCTTTTAAAATTTGCATTTTATATGTTGTTGAATCTATAAACAAAAGCGTGTTGAATGCCAACAAAATGAAAAATTGAATGCATATTTAAGGAAAGCTGAAATTTACGAATAACTTAAATAAATATTGATTAAAAGCAAGTCAAATGCCCAAAAGGCCTATAAATACAAATAACATTTATCTAAAATTTGATTTATATTCAAGGCAAATAAAGGATAAACGCACACACACTCATTCCCATATTCCCAATTACATATTTCCATCTTTGCCAAATGAAAGCAATTTTCTGAATAGGTCATCAGCTCTAAGTGGTCTATGTGCAGGGACCTAGGGCAGAATGTTATTTATTTCATATGCGAGTGCCGCAATAAAAATGTATCTAGTATCCCTTGAGATACAATTGTATCTTCGTCGCCGATAATGGGCCAATGAGCATTTGACACATTTTGAATGCATTTTGTACACAAGACGCACATGTGACGACCATTTACGATGGGCGAATAGCATTATTTATCAGCTATTAAGTCATACCCAACACACACACGCACACACACACACACACACGCGCGGATACAATGACAGCTGCTGGTGCCAATGTCAGCTAACAAAAGGCAGCACATATTCCCATTCATGCCCCACAGCTAACAACAACAACAACAACAACAACAACAACGGGGCAAAGCCACAAATAAGCCAAATCATGGGTGGGTGTTGAAATTGAAAATTGTGAATTGTGAATTGTGAATATTGTCGCTATTGTTGTTGTTGCATTGTGTATATATATATCGTGCTTTTATATTTATCTGTGTTGATATTTATGTGCACATTTAGCACAATTAAAAATTAACACACACACGCAGACATACTCGGGGCCTGGCAATGACATGCCCACACACACTCGCACACACACGCACAACAATGCTAGCAATGAAGCAATAAATGAAACCAAAAATCAAACACACGCCACATGGATACAATGCGCTGCCTCCGACCCAGTCCCAGTCCCAGTCCCGGTCGCAGTCGCAGTCGCAGACCCCATGCTCCAAGGAAGTGGGCGAGCGTGTTTTTACAGTTATGAGCAGCGGGCTGCACAGCTGGCCAACCAGTCAACCAGTCAACCAGCCAGCCAGCGTGCCAGCTATTCAGTCAAACGGTCTCCACTGGGGCCAGAGCTGCAGCCACAGCCTACGTCTGTGTCTCTGACTCTGACTCCGAGTCCGCGTCCGACAATAAACGTGACCGGTTGCCGGCAATGCATGTAGCCTCAGAGCGGCCGGCGCACAAAATAGACCATGGTACATGAGGATAGTAAAAAGAGAGGGTAGCTCAACAACTTTACTTTAAGAAATATAATAATATGCTTTGAAATCTATTAAAAAGAAAGTCTAAAACCGATTACCGATAAAAATCGATATATATATAACACCATATAGAAATTTAGATTATCGATAAAAGCCGAAGTTCAGATTATCTACACAAATCGAAGTTCGGGCTATCGATAAGAATCAAAGTTCTGGTTATCGATCAACGTCGATACACAAATGATCGATATTCACATTATTAATTAAAACTTGAGAGCGAATCGCTTTTTACATTCTTCACTCATTCCTACATAAGTTTCAATGAAATCTTCAAAATATATGTATAAACACAAATTGTTAGCACTATTTAATATTTACTTGGTCGCTAAGCATGAGGTGCCATTTAACAAGAGACATACGTAAATTGTGCCTTACACAGATAATAGAGGTAAATTTTCGAGAGCAATACCTGCAACATTTTTCTATGAAGCCACCCTCTTGCCACTTATACATACACTTCTTATCTGCAAAGGTGCCAAGTGGCACGCATGACGAGTGCCTTGCAACAGCTCTTCGAGTCGTTGGGCTGCCCGTTGCTCGAGCGCCTCATGACGTGCCTCATGACTGTTTTATTTGAATTTTGGAGAAAGGCCATATGGCGTTTTTTTTATGGTAGTGAGGGAGGAGGGGCAGGTGGGCGATGGGAGAAGGTGAGCAGCTGCAACAACTGCAGATACTCGACTCGACGCGACTCGACTCGAATCTAGTCGAGTCCGTCGAATTGTTGAGCTGTTGCCTGGCTTCGAGTGCTGCTCGAGCTGGTGGACCGCTAACGAAATCTAAATGTTTTTCTCTGTCTTTGCCCAGTTAGCGTTCGCGATGACGTCGAATTTTATTTTTAACAACAAAACAAAACAAAAAGAAAACAATTTTGTTTAATTTACTTATTGGCAAACATAACCCGTTTCCTTTGGCGTTATCTTTTCTTTTCTATTTTTTTTCTATGCGCGCTGGCAGCGAAACTTTGGCAATTATCAAGCGCCGCGGCGAAAAACAAATCGAGAAATCGAATTGAAAAGAAAACTGTTTACGCACAGTTATTATTAGACTCTAGAGATATGCTCAAAAGTACTACACAACTTTTGACATTCAGAGCCAAACAATTTAAACGCGTTATAATAAGAATATTATTATTATTATTGCACAGCCGCAATGCAATTTATGCTCTTCTAAAGTCAAGGCTTTACTAGATTCTCTTAACTTTTGTAAAACTGAACTAATTTTTATGAGGAA